AATGAATTCTCATAGACAGTATTGAATGCACTGGAAAATGGATGGAGACTTCTCACAGAGGTTTTCTGAACGTGGTGGAAAGAGGGCACGAGAAATGGGGGAGATGAAATCGTGATCAAGAGAAAATAGGGCTTCAATAGATATGGAAGTTGAGATATTAACCATTTTGAAACCAACAATTAACGGGATACACGCGTCATTTAATTTAAAGATTAATTATTTAATTAAAATGATAAAAACCTGAGAAATAAAAAAAAAAAAAAAAAGGTGAAAACCTGACTTTTTAAAATGTGAAAGAAAAGGTCTCGTTTCCTGTAATTTCCACTGTTATTTAGTCCCACTGAGATTGTAACCCCATTTTATGTGGTGATATATTATATTTTAAGTGAAAGGTGGAATAAAATTACTAATGTCACATTAGCGTCACAAACTTTACTCATAAAATTATGTCATTTCTCCAACGAGTCATTATTTTCAAGCTAAGGTAAGGTGCCTAATTAGATAGTTCTCAACTTCCGTGTCGACTTCATCTTTATGACACACTCGCATGCACAAAATCTCCTATAAAAAATGTAAAATATCTCGTTGTTTATGTAAAAAAAAAATGTAAAAAAATGAGTTCCGTGTTGTCATAATTCGAACATTAGACCTCTATCCTATGAGACACTTTTCCCAGGCTCCTCGAGGGTTATTATGTCATTTCCGCTAGGTAGAGCCTCAGATGCAGATGGTACCATACATTGTTGAAAGGCAGTTCCATTCCATTTACTCTATAAACACTATGAGCCGCTTAATTGAAAAAAAAGAATCGTTTCATATATAAGACTTAAGTGCATGTTTGGTTGGTGATTATTTATTTTTACAATCACTTTTGCTCAAACATAATTTTTATCAACACAATTCATGAAACTCACAACTACTACCAACTTTTATCAACACATTCTTTATGACTCATAGCTTTTAGTCAGTTAAATTATAATATAAACACCTAAGAGCATAGCTAAAGCCCAAATTTATATGGTCGGAATTGGAGGTAGTCGATAGAAGTCTGGCCAGGTGTGGACAAAGCTATTTTATACTTTGACGATATCTTAAATTTTTGGACGATATACTTTAATAAGTTAAGTAGAAAAAGATTTGAATCAACATTGGGAAAAAGTCTCACCGGGGTTGTAAATCAGTTTAGTGGTGTTAGATGATACCAGTTCATTTTCCACATTAATTTAAATTAATGTTACATTAGCGTCAAATAGATTGGGATTATAACCCCAATAAAGTTAAATAACATTACTCATAAAATTATGTCATTTCTCCAACGAGTCATTATTTTACAGCTAAGGTAAGGTAGGTAGATAGTTCTCGACTTCCGTTTCGACTTCACCTCTATGACACACTTGCATGCACAAAATCTCCTGTAAAAAAATGTAAAATATCTCGTTGTTTATGAAAATTATGCTATGTCAAAATTAAATGAAAGGCGTTCTTAAAATACATACATATATGTTTGTTTGTGTGGTGGTTTTGACTTTTTGAGTTAGTGGTGGGTTGTGGGGGCATAGAAGGAATTAATGGCGATGATCAAGGATCAATTATTGCCTCATATTTTATTACATTTTTGCTGTTAATAAAATTCAGATTGAGATAAGTGTTGAGTTATCATCTGTTTACAGAAATATGAAAGCGATGTATAACCATAATAATAATTAGGGAAGAATACAATATTAAAGTAAAAATGGGCCAACCCATGGGTTTCGTCTCGAACATAGCTTGGGCAAATATGGTCTTCTACAGCCTAATTCGATTTTTAATACCTTTTATGCGGGACAGTTAGCAAAGAGTGTTTGACTTGACTACTCTCCAATTTCAATTACGTGCATCGTAATTAATTTTTGGGAAAATTTCATTAGTAAGATATTAAGTACAACCTTTTTCAAATCTAAGAAATAAGGTTTATTTTTTAAAAAAATCAGATATTAATTTAAATTTCATTTATTAAATAATTAATTAAAAAATATTTTATTAATTAAATATACAAGGGTCACAATGTTATATAATTTATGGTCACGGTTATAGATCAGTCACAATTACAAACGTCACAGTCTCAAACAACAAATTTTATAGATCGCAATTTATTTCTCAATCACAAATTAAATAAATTAATTGGTCACAAATAAAAAAGTTTATGAGACAACTTATTTCATGGTTACAAAATATCAAATTACTTGGTCACAAATTATTTTTAGGTCACACATTATCAAATTATTGGTCAAACTTTAACAAAATTTTAGGTTACACATTATTTATTGGTCATAATTTATCTATTTCATTGGTCACATATGATTTATTGATCATACACTAACCAATTTATTAGTCACAATCAACAAAACAATTTTTAACCACCACCACCTCACGACTACCTCCGGTAGAACCACCACCAACACCACTGTAATAACGATGAGAACCACCACTCCCAAATACCACCATGACTGTTGCATGTATCAACCACCACCATCGCCACATGTACCAACCACCACCACTTCTACCATCTCCTCAAATCCATTACCGTCAATGCCGCCACCACTGTAACCACTGCAACCACCCTCTGTTCTCCACCACCATAAACTACCAACTCCACCATACCACACCACACACCAAACAAAAAATCCTCAAACCTACCATCATTGCCTTCACGACCACCACCAACACTTTCACCGCAATCACTACCAATCCACAACCACCGCCCTCACAATCTCCATCACAGTCGCCACCATAACTATCATCTCTTTTATCGTCATCTCCACCACACAGCAACCACCAACCGCACTAAAGAATCCCCAAACCGCCACCGCCACCACAATCTTCACAAATCACACAGCAGACCAACCACAAGACCCCTACAAATCCACCACACTGCAACGACCTCGACAAGTCCACCAAATCGCAACCGCGGTGCGCCGCTACCACCGAACTGTAGCCATGACTTGTACCATCACTATCGTGATCTATGTCACTACAGTCACGATTTGCAGAGCCTCCGGTGGTGCTGATAGTGAAGAAAAGGGTTTTCCCGAGGTCTATAGAGCTTCGACGATTTGTGTCGTTGTTAGCGAGCTTCGCAGTCAAGAAATGGCTTCAACGGCGGCACTTATAGCGAAGATGGTAAAGTGGTGCTCTCTGGTGGTGGCGCTCTCCGACGACGAATGTGTACAGAAAGTGTACAGAGTAGAAAGAAGAATATGAGAGAGAAAATGTGACATATAGGGAGAATTGAGAGAGATGAATGAAGATAAATTTAGGATTTGTGGGTGAGGTGGGTGAATGAGGTATGTTAATTAATTTAATTTTATAACATTATTATTAATATTTAATTTTTAAATTATATTTGATTTTTGAAAATAAAAACTTGTATTCTTAATTATGAATTGAGATCTTGAAAACACTTAGTCCTTGTAATTTCCACTTAATTTTTTATCGTACCAAAAATTAACTTTCTTCCAATTATTTTAATTTCCTATTATCGGGTTGTCCTGAAAAAAAACTCGATAACTTTATCGGTCAACATTCTATTTAGATTAGTCGTTGACACTGCATTGCACGAATATTGTATTTGTTGAGTTTTTATTAATGTGGAAATTGTAGATGTTCAAAAAAATATATTTCTATACTATATCAAGAGAGAGGTCTTAAACTTTACAGGTTAAGAAGAAATGAAAGAAAAATGGTTAATTCAATGAAAGGTAAGAGTAAAAAAGAGGAGAAGAAAACATACAAAATCATGACATTTTCCAGAATAGGCAAGAACCAAATTGGACCACGATAAGCACATCAAAAAGAGCACTTGGACCACGAGGAACATGCATAACATGACTTATATCAATATTATTCATAGCAACAACCAGTGCCTCAAGCTTCTTGGGTTTTCCCTTATCTTCCTCACCAAAGTTAACAACATCAAGAGCCACACTGTTCTTTTTCAATTTCCTTCAAATTATCTCCAACTCCTTGTCATATTTCACAGGACTAAAATCACAAGTTCTAACAATTAGTAAACAAAAAACAAAATCTTCGAGCATAATGAAATTATAAAATTCTACTCAGAAACATGAAAAAAAAGGATTTCAAAATACCCAAAATTTGAAGCTCAAATCACCAGAAATCGACATATGAACAAATTATTTGTAAATACTAAATTAAAAAAAACTTAATTAAAAAGAACGGATAATACTAAAATGAAAGAACCATGAAAAATGAAACAACTATGAAATTGGCATACCTCAGTTATGCCCAAGATTTGAAGCTGAAATCACGAAAAATGGACACCTGAACGAATGAATTGGAAAAATTAAACAGAGCTAACCTGAAACAACGGATAAGCGTCAAATGGAACAACTATGAAATCGACATACCTCAGTTGATCTGTCTCCCATCCAGGTTGCAATTTCTCGATCTTTTGATACGAATCAAACAACCAAAAGAAACTCCTAATAAATAGTAAATCTAAGATAAGTAAAAAAACATACAGCAGAAGACCAAAATGAGGCTGCGATTCGTATTTTACAAGATGATTTTGTACAATTTTTTTCAAACTCTTCTCCTTACAGTCTATAGATGGATTAATTTT